GCGTAGGTAGAGCAGTGGTGAAGATCCCATACTGTTCTGCAGATGCTCGGACGCACGGACCCTCCGCGTGGAACGTCATGGACGGTCAAAGTACGACGTGGTGGTTCACGGCCAAGGTGCCACAGTCCGGTCAGGTCCGAACACAGCCCACGCATGAGATTCGTCGCTTGAATCTTAACGTCCACCGAGCCGAGCGCACTTTGGCACTACATGATGTTTATGGTCCTTGTGAATATAAACGTCAAATCAGTGTGCGCGCGCATCATAGTAACAGGGAGTACTGAGCATCGACAGAGGCGGTGGCAAGAAGATTTTCAGCTTCTGTGCTCGACTCGAACGCGGGCTCACACCGTACTTATCGCCTCCACCACCCGACTCTTGATCCTCTCAGTAAGATTTGTTCTATCGTACGTTCCAGGGTGCTTGAATTCAACCGGGCTATGTCAAGATAACACCATGCTTTACGGCCAGCTAACTACAGTATCATGCGCTCTGGTGCTGCTTCTAGTCACTACGTCGGGTCTCCCTGCATGAGTTTAACCCGCATGTCTACGTTCTCTCCGCGGTCAGGCAATCCAAAGGATCTAACGATAAGCCTTCTGATGTGTGAAGAGCGAGAAAGCGTTCTGCCGATCTGCGATACCCCGCGAACTGTTCGTCCCATTGGGATGCCTGGGAACGCCGAATCCACGCCTGTTTGCATGCGTACGCGCGAGCGCCGTCCTCCCACCCGGCGTCACATGCATAAGCATGTTTGCTCCCGAAGTCCATCCTATCCCCTGGCTCTCGGCGTGCATCCCAGGCCTTCGCCATATTCTCGTTGAACTCGATGACACGACGCATCTCTTCGTGGAGAAGACGAACCTCCTGTACGCAATGCTGCGCTCGCGCGCGGCTTTTGCACCATTCCACCATGAGCTCTGGCAACCGAAGTTAGTTTTTCTGACGGAGACTGGGGAGATACGTCTGCGCACCGTCTGTGATCTGAAGCCCTGAGTCCTCTGTATGGTTGTACCAGATCCAAGGCAGCTCGTACCGCGTCTCCCCGGATGAGGCCGCGCCCCGTCTACCTTCCAAGAACTTCTTGACGTTCTCCTCAGTCATCTCCTCCATCTGCTCCAGTAGGCGATCGCCCAAGCCGCGGCAGTCCTTATCGTTCAGTACGCGCATCGTTTCCTCCCACTTCCCTTTGCCGACCAGGAGGAGGTAAGCCGCTCGGTGCCGTCTGTAAGCCACCGCTGCCTTTTTGACGTTTGCGTTGACGATGTCTTGAGTTTCGCGCGCGCGGGTGTTGTTATATTGACCAGTTATGTTCGCAATCTTGAACTTATTAAGACACCCTCTGAGGCGCAATTGCTGGCGCAATCGGTGAAGCTCGTCGACCATGTAGTCCCAGCGTAACTGAGCCTCAATCGCGCGCTCCCTGTCGGATACCAGGCTTCTGTCTTTGTCGGGAGGGTTTGATGGAAGATACAACTTGACGGTGGTAGCTGCATGACGGTCTGGATCACGCTCGTCCAGTGTGAGCGCAGCGTAGACCGAGGGACACAGTGTTTCCTGGGAGGACCGGAAGGAAAGTACGTCGTGTAGCATGCTCGTCACGGCGAGTGATCTAGCCATAGCCTGCGCCGATGTCCCTCCTATTGCCTTGTGCTTCACGGAGAACCGTTCCCTTCGCAAGTCAGAGTGAGGCGAGAGCTTGTTTATTACCTAACAACGTACCTGTCTGCTTCTAGATTAAATCCGCGCACAATAAAACGAGATAACGCGGCGTCTTCGTCTGCATCCGATGATCCAGCCGTCTTGGGAAACATGCCCTGGACTGTTTCTGACTGCATCTTGATTGAGGCTGATGATAGAGCTGCAGTAATGAACTCAGTACAACATGGTCACGGTGACTTACAGGAAGTGGGCTGGTTGAGATATGGACAGACTAACCTGTCTGCTCGACATAATATGGGCATGGGGTCCCCTCCTTCTTCTCAAGATCTTGTTCCCAAGTCCTAATAGCAACGCGAGCCTGAGCTATCCGTGTCGGGTCATCCGCCTCCAGCGCCTCGGTGAACTGAGTGAATATTTTCGTTTGTGTCGTACCGTCTTCCAATGCACGACACATGCGCGCGCAAAGCAGGACGGCTGCCACGATAATTAGCGTCTCGCATACCATCAGACTTAGTGAGCCTCACACACCGATGCCACATGTTTTTTTCCAGTTCCATGCATTGCACATGTCGTCCATTGTGTCGCTCATACCCCCCGCACCCATCTCACGCAGGCTAGAGGCTGCAGGATTGGCTCCGGACCATACGCGTTCGCAGCCTTCGCCGTCCGTGAGGCCAGTACCAAGGAGTAATCCCAGAGCGTATCGTAGTTGACAAAAGGCCTTGTGTGCGTAGAGATGAAATTTGGGCACAACATAGGTGATCGTCCTGTCGAGATGATGCTTCATGAATCGCAGTGCCCCCTGATGCATGATGCAGTCCGGCGCTATCTTGCTCAATCGCTCGTGAAGCCGTTTACTCCACTGGCAGGCGATGTCGTAGCTGACTGTAACTTCTGCGCAGCGCAGGAAGGATAGCGCGCCACAGAGTATCCAATCCATTGTATTGTAACTGTGTCCAACCGGTCAGTATGCGGCAGCTGCTGAAACATCACGACCGTGCGGACACGCACCGTTCACCCTTCTTGAGAGCGGCTAGACCTAAGACTTGAACGAATTCATGGCGTGCACAGAAGCACCCCGCAATGCCCGTGGTCCGCATCCCCTTTCCTCCCTTCATATTAGCCATGGCCAAGGCCCCAAATCGCGAACAATCGCTCTAATGACTGTATCAGAGCATTTGACCAGCAGATACAGAAGGACGTACGGGTTCAACGCTGTCCTTCTCAGTTTTCCTTATATAATCCAGGTACTCCAGTCTCGGAGCCATGTAAGCACAGCCATCCGTAAGGTTCGGATCGGTCTTGTTCGTAGACTTGGTGAGTTTATTGCTCAAACGGAAGTTGGCATCCAAAGACAATATGACCCTGTACAGCCAACTTGATGCTGCTCAGCACCAGTCTCCAGATGGCAAATCAAATGCAAGCACGCACGGAAAGGGATTCACACTCCAAGTCGACGGTACGTTCCATTCAAAGTTTGGGCATGCTGGACAGCGAAGTGCACAAGCACCAAGAGGAGTCGCCGCGATACCGCCCGGTTCATGACCACGGCCACTACGCTTGAACATGAATACATGTTTGAACTGTCGAACACAAGTGGCAAGCTGCTGACGAACATCCTAAGTCATTAACCCTATCAGCAAAGCTCAAACGAACGATGTTATGATGAAGACAAACCGCGATACCGAGGAGATTAGCACCGTCTGTTGCTGCCACTAGTGCTTTGTAATATTCGTATACGTTCAAACGCCCACGCAGTGAGAGACGCGTGAATGTGTCAAGTGCTTGATGAGTGGTCGCAGTTTGTGGATTGGTGCATGTGGCGGGCCAAAGCCGGGAGCGCATCAACTGGATGTGAGATGGTACATGCGATCCCTTCTCGCAGCCACAGAAGTCAACAGGTATGTAGTGAATGCCATTGGTGTGAATAACCGTGAAGTTCTCGATACGATGAGCTGCACGAAAGCTGCAGGCTTCGCCCGGAGGGTGCATCAGTTGAATTCGTATACCGAGATCTGCCAATCGCGTTCTCTCGTAAAAGCTTCCATTGTATCTCTTTGGGGGAGACATGAGATTGCACCGTGACGGACGGACCACCCCTCAGCTGACGCTCGCGTACCTCAATATTGTGAAACGGGTTGTAACGGTGCCACCGTTTCATACAATCCCTGCATAGATTGGCTCCGTTGCAGTCGTCGCATCGATAGTCGAGAGCAGACTCCTCGCCACAACCGGAACAGTGTTTCGAGTCCAGGGCTTCCGCGCGACCATCGAGCCTGATAGCTTCATTAAGGAATATATCTCGCCACATAAGCGCCCATCCTAGAATCGGAAAGTCCTAGGACAGACATCAAAAGCAGATGCGGAAGAGAAGAAGAACGAATTGCCGTGATCATGCTGCGAACACGTTTGCCCGTCTGGTACGCTTTGGGCAATTCCACGTTAACTGGGCCAGGACCGGAGCTATACTCGTTATCGTCTTCAACTCGACTACATTGATCCGGCTCAGAACCTAGAGAAGTTAGCGAAACACTCCGTTCACGCTTACAGAGTTGCTCGCCTTGATCATTATGGGTGACATCGTGCGGAGTTACACCGCCGAATGGACGTTCGAAGACCTGGGCTAGCCGTTCCTGTCCTATTTCATCGAGCACGCACGAGCTCAGTGTGGATTTACCGCCGGATACGTTGTGTACGCGCGGTGTCGGCGGCGTAAGGGTAGATGAGAGGGACCCGAAAGGCGATAGACCTAGCCTGCCGGCGTTCTTGCCGTCGCAGAAGGTAAAGGAACTCTTCGCCAGTTTAATTGCCGTGGATCCTCGTGTAAAGGTCGAAGACGCAGAGAAACCAATGGCTTGCCGAAATCGCTTGGAGGGGGTTGAGCCATGGTTGACGCCTTCGCGTTGCCCGGTACCATCCTGTGGAGGACGCTTCATGAACGACGACGAGAGAAGGAGGCGAGTGTATAGTACGAAGTGCAGTCTCTAAGACTTGAACAAGGGTCACGTATCGGCTCCAGCGCGTGTACGCGCGGCACAGTCTGTTTGACAGGTGAAACATACAGGCTACAGCGCGCATAACGGGATGATAGAAGGGTCGGACTTGATCACATCGTAGTTCCGAAAACGAAGCGCCGGACGACTGCAGCTATGGCAACGGTGGTGCTTGCACATACTCAGGAACAGACGAGTTGATAGAGAAGTGAGTTGTGCCCATGTTGAGGCAGAGATATATCCGTCGGAGATCAACAGTGGTGATAGCTGGGAGAGAGCATCCAAAGGCGGGTTGAGGCTGGGGCGTGGGAAGGGGTCTCGGCAAAGGGCGAACCCGGCTAAGCGCGGAAACGGTAGCACTCCCGAACCGCCATCTTGATCTCGCCTGGGGACCCACGCTCTATCTATACCAGAGGACTCACCTGCCATCATCCCTGCTGTGGGACTGTCTGAAGA